GCTGACCATATTTTTTTTTACCCCAATGCTGGACGGTCCCATGATCATCTAAGAAGAGTATGTATCATAAATAGAAAAATAATTGTAGTGGCAAACAAACTTAAATAATAAGTCAATATTTACTTGCCTAAACAGATAAACAGAATGACCATGGGTGGGCAAAAAAGCAGTGGGAGCGGGAGTGACTTCCGACTTCCTGCCGGCTTCCCCGTTGACTTTGCTTATGGGAAGCTGGCAGGGAGCATTGGAAATCATGATCAAGTGACCGCAGAGATGCTGCAACGGCCACAGCTTTGCAAATAAAACTGGTCTGAACCATCATGGAAATTTCAATTCCACAGGAGTAATGGGTCCTGGATTTTTTATGCATTCGTTAAGTTAGCTCTTTTTAGGTACCTTGGCTCAATAATTGTTGCGGTATAATGCACTGTTTGGATTAACTTGAGGGTGCAAATAAACACAATTAGAGTTTTAGTAATATGTAGATAACCAGCACCTTGAATGACACCTACTGGGAGCCAATGCAGCTTGTGAAATTGTGGTGCTATATGGGTGTACAAATATGCCTGATACTATCCACCTATATTGCTACATTCTGGACCAGCTTCCACGTGGGACTTCAGGGGCAGCCTCACATAGACCTCACTGCAGAAATTCAACCAGGAAGTGACCACGGTGTGAGTGAATTTATTGCATTTATATACAGTAAGTTAAGAACAACCAGAAGAAGCAAGTTATATAAAAAGAAGCTTCTTCTAAATTCAGATGCTCTGTAATTTTAAAAGAGAGCAGCTTAAAAGAAACACTGAAAGATTACTGAAGAAAGCAAAGGCAAAAATGGAGTGTTATGCCCCAAAGTTTGTACTTTGCTTTTATACAGGTGGCTGTGAATTGGAAAATGGCTGATCTAAGTGATCGCGAAGTGGCCATGCTTGAGTTTGCCCTTGCTGTCTGCAGAGCAGATAACATAACGGAAGAGCACTTTCAGAAGCTGGAGGCACATGGATTTGACCGAGAAGATGCCTGGGACATAGGCTCCATTTCAGCCTTTTTTGCCATGGCAAATCGCATAGCTCTCTTCACAGATATGCGTCCCAACCTGGAATACTATACCATGGGAAGAGAAAAGGGCAAGGTCCAATCTTCCTAATAAAGTTTGCTGGTATTTACAAGAATATTGGCTCCTCAGTGCTATGGCTAAGTCTGGCTAATGGATGTCACTACTTTCTATTTCATGCAATACTTTTGAAGAGGTTTTCCATTTAGTTGGTTAATACTGTATTAAAAAAGTTAGATATTGTTACCTCGTCCACCATAAAAACTATGAATTATTCATCTGGTCCCAAAACAGTCAGAAAGATTGACTGGCATTTGGGCAGAATCTACAAGAAGACCCCTGTTCATATTTCAGAAGTCTCCATATTCGTATTTTAGAATTCAGACATACACATAAAGAATCCTGAACATGTGAGTCTGTAATACTTTTATTTCCACCATTATAATAACGGTAAGCTAAGGGCTATAAAAGTTCAATAGAAAAACCCTGTGTCCGACAAAGAATGGCTTATGATTTATTTTCTGCAAGACTCCAGAAAAATACTGTAAAGATTATTTAGTGTAAAGCAGGAATCTTCAACATCTGGAGGCTCTGGAGCTCCAGCAAAGCAGTGTGGATCCCCCATTTCAAAAAATGAAGCAAAACAGTGGTGTTGCTTTATTTTGAGGTCTTACCTAGCAGTTCCAGTAGCTGGAAGATGCTTCTGTACATGTACAACATAATAGCTGATTGTTAAGAGTCAGCAGAGATTTCTGCACATGGGATATAAATCACCTCAATGAAGTCAAGCACTTTACCTCAACTAGGTAAACTGTCTCCGTGACACAAAGTGTCACATCAAGGTAAAGCATAGCCACCTCACTTGGGCTTATTAATTGCATATATGGCTGTGGGCATGGACACAACCTGCAACCCTCAGAAAACAGACTTGTGAAAGTAGCCTATCTGGACTGCATCTCTTAAAGCAGCCTCATCCTTTTCCAGGCCCACATGAGGCCTGAAATATATAACAAATGTGCTGTGATCAGGTGAGGTCAAGGATTGGGGAACAGGCAGAAGTTCCCAAGGTTCCTCTCCAGACCATTCCCCCACCACACAGAGTAAAACAACCAGGCCCTCGCTACCAGCCATACCATAAAGTGAGGGGAAAACATCAAGTCTCTCTCTTGTGTGGACCAATCAGCTGTCCCTATATGAGGGTGAGGACCAACAGCCAATCCTCAGCCCACCAGGTCATTTCAATAAGCAGATTGTCCACAGTTACTTGGGAAAATCTGGAGGATTCTAGACCTGGAAGGATCAGAACCATCTGCTCCCATGGATCCTGATGAAAAAGCACTGGTGTTCCCAGTGGTCCTACCTCAGGGTTCCTTAACCTTGGCGACTTGAAGATGTGTGGACTCCAACT